GTGCTTCAGGTTCTTCGGATTCTGTAGGTGCTTCAGGTTCTTCGGATTCTGTAGGTGCTTCAGGTTCTTCGGATTCTTCGGATTCTGTAGGTGCTTCAGGTTCTTCGGATTTTGTAGGTGCTTCAGGTGTTTTAGGTCCTTCGGATTCTGTAGGTGCTTTAGGTGTTTTAGGTCCTTTAGGTGTTTTAGGTTTTTTAGATGTTTTAGGTGCTTCAGATTCTGTAGGTGCTTCAGGTGTTTTAGGTGTTTCAGACTCCTTAGCAGTTACTTTAATTAATCCAAAACCTTCAAGTACCATCCCACGATCATATATTGGCATGATACCGTATGAATGTGGACTTACATCACGATGTCGTAAAATTGACAGAGGACTGGCGGAAATGCAGGAAAGTCCAAGAATAATATATAATATGCTAAATGTAATTGAAGGTGTTGGTTTAAATTTGGTGAGTTTCATTTCAAATTTTGGTATTAAACAACATGGCATTTCGCAAGTTAAACTAAATAGATAATGTTTTTTTGTAAGAAGATAAAAAGATGTAAATGTAATAATCAAATTTCTTGATGGATCTGTGAAGTGCTTCTCGAGCAGCCTTGTGCCCTTTTTATTCATGAAAAACAATAAAAATATTCAAGTATTAATTTTTTTCCTTCATACACAAGTATTTTACCCCTCGAGTTTGATATCTTTACGAGCATATTTTAATTTAGAATCATTTTGTAATAGGTCATAAATTCGTTAAAAGATTTTGGAAAACTGTGGATTCTCTCTTTTTATGATATCTTTAATATCATCTCTTTAATTTCATCACTTACTGTTCGAATTACACTGATCAGCGATAAAATCATTAATCAGTGATAGAATGTCAATACATTTGTAATTATCTTTGCAATTAATATCTCAATTTCTCAATTTAGTTTTATATCGCGTAACGACCCAAATTATTAGTAAAGCATTTATTCATGTAACTTTTAAATACTTGTTCATTTACTGCACGTATAATTAAACTCCTATTAATTTTTTTCCCAATGGTGCAGATCATGGTGAGTTTGTGATGCTAAATGATATTTAAATACATCAGGCTTTAATTACAATCAATTTGATCTTTTAAATAGCGGAATTTTTTACTTTCCTATTTTTAACAACTGTCTTAAATTAATTCAGTGCGTTAGAATATTGGGTGTGCTTTACTTATCTCACGCCAGTTCACGATCTGGGAGAGAGCTTTATATCTAATATGGGACATGCGTGATGATCGAAGGTGTGTTTGCGACTGCACTCGAACGAATTAAATACGGATATAATATATATCTGATTGAGGATAAGATCACAATCCTAGATATATATGTCGTGTCCGAAGTTTGAACGTGCCTTACGTTGTAACTTCAGTTACTGTATTTTCCAAAATTAAATTAAATACTGTATTTACATTAATTAATCGTTAGTTAATTTCGGCAAATAATTAACCGTCATAGTGTTGCCACTTTAAAAGATTTCTCTGATCAATCAAAAATGCTAAAATCAAAATAATCCAAAAAAGATGTAACTCAAATTTTGCCTATGCAATTCCTTCTGCGCACTAACTAAAAATTTTCCTTGCTAAATTTTTGTATTATTTATCCCTTCAAACCTTAACTTGATTGCGAAAACATGACCCTAATCTGTAGCAACTTTTTTTTTAGCGAAATGTTCTTGGTTAGTAACGCTAGTGTTTTAGCAAGAACTTCAAGCGCTGAAGTTGCAACACCAGGCAGGTACAGACTTTAGGTACAACATTGGGAATAAAAAAAAATTTTTTTAACAAATAACGTGATTTAAAATAAATATTAAAAAAGTTTACAGAGATTGTAAGCTTGTTAATATCTCAATTTTTACAAGAAGTTTATTCAATAATTAAGTTATAATTAATATTAACATCAAATTTTATTTGTATTATATTCAAACTTGTAATATAAATTTATAGTATCTTTTTTATTTAACGGGTATTATTAAAAAAAAAATAATAATAAAATAACACTCTATATAGTTTGTAACAAACATTAAGTAATAAAATTAACAGTATTTATTTGTGATCGAAAATAAAAATAACTAAAACTTTAGCACAGTAACTAATGAAATAAATAAATGAATGCACTATTAGTGCCATTTAGAGTACAAAGAAATAGGTAATAAAAAGAGGATCAAGACGAAATTACCCCCATTTACTTTTAAATGATATAGATAATACATTATTGAATTTTTTTAATATCTGCCTTACCGGCTTCAACGTACGACCTCCTTCTGACCAAAAACTTTTTTCCATTGATGTCATCAATAGAAAAACCAGTAAAAACGTGTGAAAATGGAGCCGTGCCTGGAACAACAATTGTAATTACACCTTTCAATTCTTCAGTCAAGTCCTTAAAAATCTTGTCGTCACTATCAACAATCACATAATCAAAATTATCAGGATGTGTATTCGGAAATCCACTATTAAATTGTCCGCTACAGTTGACTTTCTTCTCTTCTACTTCTGAGAAATGAAGTTCTCCGGTAACTGTGTTTACATTATCTGCTTGAGGAAAAACTGCAACAGCGACGTCTCCAGCTTTACGTTTCGTCGTGCTTGGATATGGGTTTACGGAGATTATTGTAAGTAAAATGAAAAAAGAAATGAGCAGAAATTTTACAGATATCATTTTTTTTTTAAAAAAAAAAATGTGTTTTGATATTAAAAATTCCTTTTAAATAGAAATATCTTTTTCGAAATTATATTTATGTACAATTCGGAAATGAATTTGGAAATGAATTTTTCTCAATCAAAAGTTTAAAGTTGATTTGGGGATGTTCTTATATGTTGTTATTTCTTTAACAAAATACAGGTAAACTCGTCGATCCAAACCTGGCTTGTCCATTTTCGATAGATTCTAAGCAAAAATTTCAATAGTTTTGGACTACAAAAAAAAATCTTTTATTTTCGATTTCACTGCAAATCTCTTTAACATTCATTTTTTGTATTATAAGCCACCATTGGAAAAACTCGATTCTCTTGCCCCAAAAAGCCTCGTTAATATTTGATTTGAATATTTCGTCTCAATGTTAGTCTAAGTCACGATCGCCAGATTTTCATGTAAGCCATGATTGATCGCGGCTACCAGAAAATAGTATTCAAAAAAGCTATTCTCATTAAAAGGCTAAAAGGTCAGTTGCATGTTAATGAAAATAAGCCATTATACACAAGTCGATCTTTTGCTTACAGTTTTGCCGATGAAAAATTTGATATGATCGCGATTACATTCGGTACGCGTATACTAACACAGCCCTAATAATTTTCTAATTTTTAATTCGCATTCTATGACTAATAGTAATAAAGGAAATTCTATTTTCACCCGGGTTAAAGTCACCCGATATATAATTTCCATTATATTATATCATACAAACTACTATAACAAACTAAAAATTCTATAGATTTGTTAGTTAAAGGTTAGGGTAGATGAATTTTAATGATACTATATGGATTTATATTATATTGTATAATAAAGATTATTTATCGGGTGACTTTAACCCGGGTGAAAATAGAATTTCTCTAGTAATAATAATAACAATATTATTATTATTATTTCTTTATCAAAACTTATATAATACTACAGGATAATTATACATGCAGTCAAAATTATTTATGCTTGTGTAGTAACTAGTTTCGAATAGGTCTAAATCGTTTCGGCACATAAAGATAATAAAGTAACAAAGCATTGCTAACATCAAGCTTCCGTAAAATAGTTTTTAAATGTAATATATAGGTGTAAAGAATACGTAATCTAATAAGCGCAGGTTTTTTTCGTAGTTTTACCGGCTGCCCTTGCGTCTAAAGTGTATAGATGTTATATAAATTTAATTCATTTCAACTTTTAGATTAGAAATTGTGAAAGTCATCCGTGAAGCGATCATAATTAGAGAAAAATCATGCATTTACCATATTTCGTTAAGCAAAGTACTCAGGTAACAAATATGCAGAGCTGTTGTTTTAAAATACTAATTATATACGATACCCCCCCAAGTACACTCAGCTTGATCCAAGCATTGACAAAATTATGGCATGACATATCCTGATATTTTCCCGGCAATGTTTCCTGGGACACCTGATAAAAATTAACTGAATGATTACAGTTAAGGTTCTGCACTTGCAGAACCCTAATTACAGTATTCCGCCGATTGCTATCACTATTTTCATATTACATGGAATACTTGTTTTACGAATACAGTAGTTTTATTATTATTATCTGAATACTGTACTTGCCCAACATGTTTAATACTCTTAATTTGTGCGAAAATTTATGAAAGACTGTTCTTGTCAACCAATAAATCATGACAATAAAAATTATTCTATAATAAACATATACAAATACTGAAATGGGTGCTAATATGATCATTGATTGGTTTAAAGATGTAACTCGAAATTCCAAAAATGTGATAAAAATTACCCTTCTAAATCTTTTTTCGACTATTTGCCAACGAATATGCTTCGAAAGTATCATTTAACCATTTAACCTGATATTGAATTATCTGGTCATTACGCTGTAAATAGTAAATAACTTATCGAATCGGCAGAATAATCGTTCGGTTAATTCTTCCCGGGAATAATGATAATAGCTGTAAACGAAATTGGAATCTCTAGCCGAAGGTAGTAACAATCGGTTATAATAGTAAAAAAATTCAAAAAAAAAAACAGTAACGGAAAGTCTTTTCTATAGGTGCACATCTCTAAATACATACTTTATTTTGGTTTCGAGCCTGAAATTTAGTGATAAGTACACTCCTGACTTTTGCTACCATCAATAAACGGCAAATCAACATTTTTAAAAAACTAACGCATAATATATATGTATATACAGTTTATCCCCGTTAATATCAACCTTGTTAATATCAACCTAAGTCACAAAACAAATTTTTATAAATTTTTATATATCAAAATTCCCTCATATATATCAACTTTAATATGATTTCTCGTTAA